TATTTCTTGGGCAACTAAGAGGCAAGCCACAGTTGCTCTTTCCACGACTGAGAGTGAATACATGGCTATGAGTATGGCAGCGCAAGAAGCTCTATGGTTGAGAAGGTTGAGTGAGGAATTCGATCAATGTACAGAGGCGACAGTAATACATGTGGATAACCAAGGAGCTCAAAATCTTGCGAAAAATGGATCTTATCATGCTAGAACCAAACACATAGATGTGAGGCATCATTTCTTGAAAGAAAAGATTGATGAAAAATTACTGGAATTGAGGTTTATTTCCACGGAGAAGCAAGTAGCAGATTCCCTAACGAAGGCAGTGGAAAAGAAGAAACATTTGTTTTGTTCCATGAGTCAGGGTTTGACTTATTTTAAATAGAGGGGATGTTGGAATACCATTTAAAACAGTATCAAATCCACTGACTATCTTCACCACTCTGTATCATAACGATGATTATTGATTTGACTTAAGTTGTCACTTCATGCCACTTTTGTATATTATGCAGTAGTTATTAATAAAGCATTACATTTTAATAAATATTGCCTTCCTGTTCCCCACAAATCGCACTCAGCCAACACTTTTCACGATGGGTGTCATTTTTTCTATTAGTGATGAGCTTTTCAATTCGTTCGGTGCCCAAAAAGTCTCCTTTTTCCATCTCGTATACTACAAATTCACGCCTCTTAGAACACTCCAGCACGACATCTTTGAAGTCCTTGAGTGTGTAGATTCTAATTTGACCTTTGAGGGCCCTCTCGATTTCCCCAAAATAAGAATCATTGGCCAGATAACTATGGCCAGGCATGAGATATTTCAAATAAATAATTCTCAAAGAAACATGGTTTTCTGGAACAGCTTTCAACATAAGAACCATTTTAATGTTTCTATTCTGTCCTCCGCATGAGTCTGAGGTCTTCTGTTTCGGGTGAAACAAACTGACTTATCATAACGGTCAAACAGGATCCTACTTCTTGGGCACCCCTGCCTGCTGTGTTTTCTTTCCAAATGAAACAATATGGCTGCTTATTGGATCCTCTGTAAATACCTTCGTTATATATAGATGATATAGATATTTTGTAATAAACTATATTTGTTGACATTTTTGGAAGACCTAGAACTTTTTCCATATCGAAGGTGAGTGTTTCTATTTCATTATTTTCAGTTGATAATTGCAGATCATTTTTCATTGCATTCCTTGCCTCTTCTGCTTTCTCTAAATGTTGATTATACAGAGATTTAGTTTCAGCCAGTACCATAGGATCATTCTGGCAACTTTTGATCTTAGCTTGAAATGTGTCACAGCTATTGCAGGTGTCCTTGATCACAGGTTTCATCCGAAGATTGAAGTTTTCATAAAATATTTTTTTGTGAGTAGAAAATGCTACTCTTGGACTCTTTTCTTCCAAATAGAGACTGTACATTTTATTGTGAGTCAAATTTGTTGGCAAAAATTTTGCATCCGTTGTGTTGCGACAATAATGTAAAACGTATGTAGGAAATGATGGAATATGTCTGATTATTCAATTTTTTATTTCATCTGGTAGTTTCATGTTTCAAATTTCCACAGTTTCCTCTTCCATCTTTGATATCACCAGACTTGCATTTTTTTGATGCTGATGTGTTAACTCGTTTTACAATTACATTTCGTTTTCGGCTTGTGCTCGCTCCGCCATTTTCCTTATCATACTCTGCATTTCTAGAGTTACTTGTCATGCTGCAGTTCGGTCCCATCATCATATTTTTGGATGCGTCTGCTGGTACCTTAACATTTGAAAGTAAACGATTAGAAGGTTCATCATTACATCCATTGGAAAAGATCCAAACGCCAACTTGACTGGTTGTGTATTCATTCAAGAAGAACCAAGGGTACTTCTACCACAAAATAAGAAACAGAAGAAACCTATCATATATTTTGGTTCGATTTAACCGAATTCTAACTGCTGGTAAGCTATGTATTGAGTTCAATTGTATAATGATTTCAGTTTAATTCATCACAAAACTAATGACTTACATAACCTGAAAGTACCTATACTCACCTTTCCTGCATCACCAGCTGGATTGATGTTGATCTTGTTTCCTTCATTATCATGTGCCTCCCGTTCTTTCAATAATCTGCATATTCCCCTCCACCTGCTAGACATTTTCAGTTAATATTTCCACAAAACAGAAACCTTAAACTGGCTTAAACTGCCTCACACCTCTACGGCCGAAACCAAGTTACATGACAATCAGTTATGACATTTATTTAATAAGAACCAAACGACAAGTGGGCGCTTGTATTTCTTTAAATAAAATAGAAATCTCCTTTAGATGCTTTGTCGGTTGGTACCTTCATCAATAGAGAACAGCAGGTTATTCCATTGAGCTTGGATCTTTTTATAGTATTCAAGTACATATCTCAGGAGCCATCTTGAATTCTCAACTCATAACTAGACTTTTGGCGTTTGATTCCTTTTCCAGTAACTCCAATATATGGCCAGGTGGATATCTCGAAGGAAGAGAACCTGATTTTGACTGTGATAGCTTCACAGCAAACTACTTTGAGACCGGTGGAAATCGAACACAAAACTTCAAGAAACGTCTTCATACAGAAAGATCTGATGTCTTCAACACATGTTTTTTTGAGAGTGGATCGAGTGAGGAGTCAATATATGAGGGACTTCACAAAGTTGTTGATGAAAAAGAAAAATATTTCACCATTTTGAAAAATAAAAAAAGATACTCTTTATATTGATAGGTTGAAAACTGCATATAATTCATCTCAGTGGTAGCTTACCAACATTTGTTTTATAGTTCTATGTACATTCTTTCATCACTTTGTTTTTATAAATACTCTTCTTGTCGTAACATCTTCAAATAATTGGTGGAGGAGTGATTGTAGGGGCAAGCAGCGCTATGTTAGGAAGTTGAAAACCTTCGGTAGAAGGTGACAATGAACTTCTAAATAATTTGATGGTGATTGTCAAGAAAATTGATGAATATACGTAAATATTTTTTATTTTTTCAAAAAAATTAATTTCATTCGGTTCCTCAACCCTTCAACAGCAAGGAATTGACCTGCACTACACGACTGAGCAGACCCCCATAGGATCTAGCTCAAGATTTGGGTGAGCGGTTTGATATCGCCATTGAGTATTCACACTAGTGTAAATAATCAAGGATATCGCGCAGCACGTGGGTCTCAGCTGTGCATTTCATATCTCAATGTCGTTATCAATCAGTTCTTGATACTCATGAATTGAATGTACTGAAACAATTACGCGATTAATCAGCCAAGAGCTCGAAACCGGTCTGCAGGTATCGTTGCGTTAACCTGGCTAAATCGAAATCAATCAGCATAAGAGGAAGACATTTGCATCAGTTTTTGTCCACACATATCGATGCATGAATTTTGGGAGGATGTAATTCAATGATCAGCTTGGCAGTAGCCAGAAAAGTAAATGTTTTTCTTCTGTCATCTACCATTTTATTAACATTTGTGGAATTCGCTTTGAGCTTCATTCAAAATGTCATTCCACTCTGAGCATTGTGGCTATTCCGTAGTTGACCACCATATTCACTTCGAGATTTTTCGGGCAATGAACTTATCGTAATGTATCGTAACTTTAGCTGCTTGTCTTATTCTTGTAGGTGTACCTGTTGTAGGTGTAATAATTCATCTTCATCATCTGAATTCATCTTTTGCAGCACAAAATTCACAATGGATAGCTATCAACTTTATTTAAAGACGTGAAAATTATTCAAGGGACATTATTTACTCCAATAACAATGATGTACTGTTCTGTTTTGGCTTATCAGAAGAACAGAACCACCCTGATATTCGGTTGGTAAATAACTTATAGAAGTGACTCACGTTGTTTGTCTACAGATACTATTATTTGCTCGAGAGCAGATAAATATTGGATATTTAATTCGATAGAAGAAGATGGAATGAATATCACCCTCCATGCATCAATACAAAATTAACAAAAGTTAAAGAAACTGCTGAATTCCTTACAAAATATCCTGAAGATCTCCTTTCCTCTCCTCATGTATCTGTTTTTTTTTTCACTTGGAAAATTGATATTATTATTCATCCGATATATATTCAGCATCGAATTGCAGATCAATCCCCAGCCTATAATTGTCGACACGACACGACAGAAACCTTCAAACGGCTCGTGTGAGTGAGAATGATGAAAGTTATATTGTTTGGACAAATATTATTCGAATCACTGTTATATTAGGGGTGCTTCTCTGAAGAACCGTATATAATAATATAACACAAGAATTCATTCGCTGAAGATATATTGTTTCAACTAGAATTGATACATACTCTCCAATTCGCAAATATACATTCGAAGATAGTTCCCACAAAGTTACTTGTGATGTACATAAAGCGCGTTAAAACTTCTAACTTTTTGTCGGCCGAACCATTGATTAATCTCGAATTGATTGAACTCTGACGAATATCGAATATCGATTCATTGAATACCTGTGAGTTTCATCATTGATGAACAGTACCTAAACATAATACAATTTGCTGTTAGATTGATTTCAACGACAGCGGAATAGCACAGTGGTTGAGGCGCTCGGCTATAGTAATTAGAACATCGAAACTTGCTAGGTTCGAATTCCCGACAGGGCAGAGAATTTTCATGTATGAAACGAGTTATATATTATAATTTTCCTAGCCTCGGCCAGAGATGGTCCGCACGATTCGCTGTTGCGTTTCAATCGACAGTGATGCTCCTGATGTGGCGTATGGAGTCAGTAAAAAGCCTACACAGCACACACATGACTCAAAGACCTCTCGTAAGATCGATCGCCAGTTAGTGTGTACATACACACCAACAAAATACATATACTACTATTACTACTACTACTGATATCAACAATGAATTCGTCAACGTCATATAATTGATTTTCTATATCATCTATGAATATAGCGATTAAATGATCGGATAGTTGGGAAAGAGAGTGAAAAACTCGTATGATGTTGATTTCTGTTTCTTTCCAGCTTGATGCGGAGCCAGCGGCTACCTCTTTTCGGTGGAGTTTCAATAGCACTCCAGGTATCGCCAGGGACCTCACAGAGTTCACAGAGGAAGTACAAAGTACCAGCGTTCTCACGTATATGCCAAGAGTTGCAGCCGATTACGGAACCATTCAGGTTTGTTTCATTCATCTTGAATGCTCTTAGGAATGATTAATAATACAGGAAATTCAAGGTATCAAATATTCTCGGACATATCAAAGAGAGATTTCTAACGAAATCCTGATAAAGGCACGACCAGAAGCCGTGAAATAATGTGGTGTATTGATAGAAACATGTCAAAAGTAATATAAGCAAAATTTTTCTTGTACGGATCACGTTTTATGTTTGGGGCTCAAAACGGCTATAACGGTGAAGTGAAGAGTGCTAGGCATTTGGTGTGAGATAAAGGATAATAATTGGAGCTGGAGATCGTTTTCAGCATCGGTTATGTTCGGTGTGTCGATTTGGGTATGAAAAGATGAGTATCTGAGGCTCCAGCTAGAAGATCATATAAACTGTATTCAGTAGTCAAGAATACAATACAGAACATGGTATTCACTACTAAAATTTGAACATGAAAATGGTAAATTCAAGATTAATTAATGAAAACATCCTGTAACTCCTTTGATTGCCAACGTCACCAATTGTCATTGAAAACTGATAAGCTTCAAGACATATTATACGACTTCGTAATTGAAAAAATCTCTTCATGTTGAAAACGGGAGCAGAATCGGTCCCGAAACGTCCAAATAAGATAAGTGAAAATTTGATATTTTTTCTATATACCTTTATTCCTCTTCTCCAAAAATTGTTCAATACAAATTGTCACTGACAAGCTAGTGAATTTTTCTTTTAGGCTCTCTGATAGGAAAATTCTTCAAACGCAGTGATATTTTGGGGCAAATCATCTGATTTGTCCTAACTACACGTATATTGAAATAGTATTCATATTTTTATTTTATAGAGACGAGGAGAGAAAATCCCAAAAAATTTTGAATGATGAAGAAATATCAAGTTTGAGAAAATGTAAAGATGAATTGATTATAAAAACAAAATCAGCAACTTAGTCTAGACCATCAACGGATATCAAGCGATTAAGCGTTATGCCTATTGAAGTAGAAATATATAAAAGCAGGGCAGTTATTTTTGTCATGATTCATTGAATTCTACAGTAGATATTCGTCAGAAATTGAGCTCACATGGTGTTTTCAATGTGTGACCAATACTTTTTCAGAAAAGATACTTGTTACATGCTAATGGCAGCATTTTGTCGGTATGCACTAGGCGTGGATTTTTGTATAGATTTTTCAGTCCAAAATATTCAAATTAGTCAAATAAAACGCGCCACACAACTTTCATTCAGAGATGAAATCATTTATCACTTGAGTAATTGTCGTGCAATCAAATAATACTCTACAGGATGTTGACCAGCTGAAAAAGACCAAAGAACATAATGTTGAAAGAGATGAAGAGAGCAATGTTCCAAGAAATGAATGAAATTCAATCTCAAACTCATGATCGTAACCTGAAAGTTTTGCTCGAAACCTAATAGTCCTGATTCCAACCTGAAAGTTTCGATCAGAACCTGGCACCCTGAAACAAATAACCTGTGTAAATGCCTTATCCAATATCGTCGCGGACCGACTTCTAGGGGTCAGAAGAAGAGAAGACTCACCATTTGACTGAAGTGTAGATCATAAATATCCTTACTGCCAGGCACACCTATGGCGTCTTTGGTGGTAAAATAGCAAGAATGGTGCAAAATCTTCAAGAACTCTCTCCCAAATCTTTGACATACCAGCACGACACCAACTGATCCAACTTCCAACAAAGTCCACTAAAAAGTGTCGAAACTTAATAGTCCGAGGAATACCTTTTGTCAGATCTCACAAAAATTGTTCTGACAGATCGATGAAATTCGATAACCTACTATATGGAAAATAACCTCGAAATTGACGTCCAGACAAGTTCGCATTTGCGACAATATCGATAACAGTATTTCAACTGCTCAAGGTCCGTTACGGAAAAGAAATGTAACCTGTGGATTGATATCCTATTGTTTTTATCCAAAAATTATAAAATTAAAAATGTTTGTTATCGTCAAATTCAGCTGAAGATGCAACTGTTATGTATTTCATTGTGTTCTACACCAATCTCACGTTAGTAAGTACTTTTTTCGAATGTATTATTGACAAAGTTTTTTCACTTATTCATTTTTTATAGATGTCTTGATGAAGGAAATGAACATTTCGGAAGCTCGGCTAAGTAACAGAGAGTCCTCTCATTAAGGCCAAAATTTAAACTGCAACCTCACCTAGAAAGATTTCCTTTTGAACTGCTTCTAAAGTTAATGTTTATTTTACCTCAACTAGTCAGTCACGACTACCCTTCATATAGGCAGGTGAATTTCCAGTTGATCTTTGGTGGCGACAGCCATATTGTCTATCATTATAATGATTCCTGAGCTTACCAGATATGTGATGAGCTCAATGTTGTTGGCTTTTTCCATCACTTTGAAGATGACCGATAACAGGGCTATTGGCCTATAGTTGTTGGGCAGGCTCTTGTTGTCTTTTTTGGGGATTGGTTGAACTCTATTCATTTTCCAGCAAGATCGAGAAATACTCGACTTATAGGAGATGGTGAATAGCTTGCAGACAGTCGGTGTCAATTCTGGTACACACTTATTGAGAAAAATGGTTGAAATTCCATCAGGACTATTAGACTCATTCGTTACGAGATCGAGCAGAATGCGTCTGATAGTGCGTTGACGAAAGACGATTTCGAAAGTAATGGTGAATCAAATTCGATCGAAAAAATGCGATTTTACGTTTCAGGTGTTGAGCAGTATATAAATATATCTCAATATACATATCTGTTTTTATACACTCCTGTACATTATCATCTTATATACATAAGTATATTCTGATTCATTCTATACACAATAATGTTCAATAATATCCTTCAATGGAATTGTAATAGTTTCACAAACAACTTCTTCCAATTGAAACTATTATTGATAAAAATGGATCCATAATGTCTTCAAGGATCGCATTTCAAACCAGTAGAAGAATCCTCCACTAGAGGTAACAATATATTCATAGGAAAGATTCATAACCAACTGCAAGAGCTTCAGGTGGACTTATTGCCACTTTCATCAAAGAAAGCATACCAACAACACCTATACCAATGCAATCGAGACTACAAGTACAGACAGTACAAGTTATGCACCCTTCCAAAATTACAATACATAACATCTATTTACTGGAGTTCAACTGGACTTTCAACGATCTATCGTTGATCAATTACCCCAACCCTTCATTATCATGGAAGACTTTTACTGACATAATCCACAATCGAAATCACAGAGTTTAGAAGCAAAAGGAATAAGGATCATTGAAGAACTCATAAATTAAGTCATGGAAACCATCCATTCTCAAAGTGGTCCGGTATTTTTTCAACAAGAGAAAAACTAACTCAAAGTCGGTCGACCACAATATTTAATATCAAAATTATATATAAGAAGTGTGTAACTATTATTTCGGCTCTACGGCCATCTTCAGACACAATTGAAAAGTACCTGTTATGTGGAGAAACAATAGAAACATTTTTATCAGTAAAAATCGGATCGTTATGAAACTCAATCAGTCCAGCCTCACAATCAACAACATTTGTAACGGCTGAAAAGCCAAAAGAACATTACAATCAGTAAGTTCAACATCAACGAAACTAATTAAATGGAGATCTACTCAAGTGAGCTTCATCTGACTGTCATTTGACTATTTGGGACTGCAGCGAAACGACGGTGTATTCTTATAACATTATATTCCCAATATTTTGACAATTAATATTGATATCATCATGGAGCTACTATTTTCGAAAAACTTCATGATTGACTATTCCACTCTTGGTCTCTAGAAACAATCAGAATCGACAATGTTTCTTCTGTATTACAGTGATATTATTTAATATTTAATAAATTTTGTCGGACTTGCTCTACCAATACAGAAGCCGAATTGACCCACACGTGACCAATCTTCCTCGTTCTTCAGCGATAGGATTTTGGACCTTCGGAACGTCAATTATGTGGGAAGCCAGACTGATGGATACATCGTGCGCAACTCTCGCGAGCCGCTCGTTTATTGTCTCAATCATGAAATAGTGATACGGATACAACTCGTGATATTGTTATTCCTGGAAATATTCGTCGATTGACATACTCCAGCTTGCTGCTTCAATTTCGCTTATGACATTGTTCCAAAACTTCTTGCCTACGGCTCGAATGTTTTGATATACAATGTCATTGGGCGAAATCATTGGGCAACAAGCTGTCGTGATAATCGCCGAATACTTTCGGCAAAATGGTATCACTTGTGGTATTACATATGCATTAAATAACTAGGTGAGATACTTACCATGTCAGTGAGAATGGTCGTTGAATGATAGTGAAACGAATCGATACAAAGGACACATTAAAAATATGTTATACATTGGAACGAATTGATCGATTATTCAGATTGATATAACTATATATAACTCAAAAGGGTGGCAGATGAGCTGATTGATTTGAATCACTGCAATGAAAACATATCAGAGTCGAATGATGATGATTTATAAAGATCTCCTAGTACTGATGATCTGACAAATTTTAAACGTCTGATCAGGAGTCTGTAAGATTCCAAGAAAAAATTTTGGAAAAACTATGTCTCTACACTGAATAGTGGGATCCCACTAACAGAAGTATGGCGAAAAATCAGGATTACAATACAAAAAATAATGTTGAAGACATAACCAGTTCGTTTAATCATAGGCAAAAAAATTCGGAATTCGAACAACATCGCCAACGAACAAGCTCACTACTTTGAACGCACAACGATCACTAAAAATATTCATTGGATTTTTGAATTCAGAAGAACAACCTGGAACTGGAATCGGATCTCCCAGAAAATATAGAGAGGTTTTATAACTAAGAAATTACATTATCCGAAATTTAACAAGCTCATGAGTGAACGAGTAACACAACACCTGACCTAGATGAAAACCATCACGATATGATTGGAAACTCACCTCTGAGAGAGAAACAACAAATTTCACAACTTTTCAATGGAATATGGTCTGAAGCTACCTATCCTAAATTATGGCAAACATTTCTAATAATTCATATTCCGGATGAGAAGATTCGAAATATTCAAACAATTATCGCCCTGTAAACTCCTTGAGAAAATCATGAATTCCCGATCGATCAGGTTTCTCGACACCAACAATTGCCTTTCGAATCATTAAATGGGATTCAGAACACGAAGATCGACTATAGATCAACTTGTTTTGATAGATTCTGTAGTAAGAGACAGTTTTGCGCGTCGCAATCATCTACTATCTGGTATTTTTGATATTGAAAAAGCCTATGACCTCACCTGGCGATACAATATACTGAAAAGATAACATATACTTCTACGTCAGAATAGAACATACATCATCTGATAGGAAAACACTTGAAAACGGGATCCCACAGGATTCCACTGTAAGTGTCAAAATATTATTGATACCGATTAACTAGGTACCTGCATGTCTTCACGTCGATAATCTCATAACTTTTTATTACGGGAGAGAGTGGCAAGGAGTAGAAGAGGAAATACAAACAACTATCAACCAACTCTCAGCAACAGCTGCCTCTATTGAATTTCGATTTTCACAGACAAAACACATTGTTTCGACTTCTGCTGATTGAGAATATGACACAATAACCCAGAACCATATATCACTTAAGTCCGTCTGGAGGTCAAGACTATCAGGGAACCTCACATAGAACATCTCGCTAGCATATGCGAAATAGCCCTCAATATCAACCAATGTATCTCCAATATAAATTAGGGTGTTGACCGAGAAGTAATACTCACATTATTTCAATCTTTGTCACCCCTAAAACTCGAATATGGTAGCATTGTTTATGCATCTACCTGCAAAAGTCACTTGTATCTACTAGATATAATTTATAAAGATGGAATCCGACTGGCTATCGGAGCATTCCGCACTAGCCCAAATGAGGCTGGCATCCCCACATTGTTCTTCAGAAAAAAAATTTCTGAACTATGGATTGCATTCAGAGTCACAGTCTGTCACCTTAACCACCAAATCATTTTCAATGTAGGACTGACCAATGAAACAGTAAGAAGGCGAATCAATGACGATTTGAAATATTTCAACATCGAACTTTCGCAAGAATTTCCTACAACTTCCAATGGAATACCTCCCTGGACGAAACTTACACTCGAGATCCATTTCGAATGTAGTGAATTCAAGAAAGACGCTATAAATCGAGTCCAATATTTCCAAATCATCAATGAAGTTATGAACAAATACAACAATAATAAGGGTGTTTCGATGAAACCTGACTCCCTTGCTAGGGTAGGTAGAACACTGCAAATAAAGTTGGGATTGTTAATTAAAATGATATCGTAATGGCATCCGTGTTCAAGATACAAGGTGATAAAAAAATGATTTTCTTATGCATTTTTCACGATCATTTCGAAACCTCTGGCAACATTGTGATGAAATTTTGTAAGGATGGGTTTTGAAAGCAGAGATATCGCATGAATTTGTTTTTATATCTGACTCTCACAGAGGGCGCTAGTTACACGGATCGTACCGAGTTGTTCTGAACATAGTTTCTTTGAGGCTAGAAAATTCAATTCGAATTTGAAGTGAACTTGAACATCATTGAATTCAATATCAAAAAGATACATTAGATAAAACTCAACAGTGTGCACCGTATTCGCAATATTTTGATTTGAGAATTATGAATTGATAGCTTATACTGGTATGAAAAAAATATTATCGGGATCAAAAACCTATTTATTCAGATTCAAAAACGATTAAATTGCACTTGTGCTGTAGTTATTGATTGAACAAAGAATCATTAGTAAATAATCGACTAGTATCATAAAATATTGATCAGTTGGAGTAAGTTCAAAATGTCCTCCGTTTCTACGAATACACGATTCTATATTTTTGTCTTGAGAATGCAATATTCTTCTGAACAGTTGAGAACAATGGAACTGTGTGATCCATGTTTTAAGCCAAATTTGTTTCAATGATATTCTGCTGATTAATTCTCAAATTGATTGATTCAGCATTAGAAATGTATTGATGTTCTCGGTAAATTTATTTGCTGTCCTATCATTTCTAATTTTCTCATTATTTTGAGGATCATATGGAATTATGAATACATCATTATGATTAATATATTGATATTGAGACAGATTTCAACTCTGACTCATAACTTTCTGCCTACTCGATTTCCTTTTCCAATTTCATGAAATATCACGGCCTCTCCAAGATGATATTAATCATTGAAAATTAAAAAACATACTCTCAAGGTCCAATACTAGCTCAAATTTGGTCGGAATCCGTCGTACATCCCAAACGATAACCAGTTAATCCCAATGTTACTATCTGATATTTGAAAACTTGCCTCGATTTTTCATATACCCACTGAATCTCGAGCCCTCAATGCAGAATAATATATGTAGTTGTAGTTGTTCACTAACCAATTCGCTTCTTTCGATTCAATTAAGTATATATGAGTGGAATTTATAATCGTTCTCATGCTTCCCTAATTAGAAACACCAATTTTATTTGATGCGTCAAGTTATTAATCCTCACATTCCTGATTGCACAGTCGAAACAAATATCTGTGTCAATATTAGTCAGTTTGAGTTTGAAAATATTGTGATTATTTTCATTTCCATCATTGGGAGAACCTAAATTCATTCGCTATCCTATCATTTTTCATTTTGAAAATCATATCGAATTATGAATACATTATTATTATCAATATATTCACACCACACCATCACACCAATGATACTCTGACTCATAACTTTCTTTCTACTCGATTCATCTTTCCAATTTCATGAAATATCACGGCCTCTCCAAGATAATGTTAATCATTGAAGAAAAAAACATACCTACTATCAATGTCCAATACTTGTTCAAATTCGGTCGGAGTCGCATAACTGAGATGAAGGGCAGGGCAATCAAAATCAGACACGCTAAGTGGGATTATCTTCATTTTCTTTTTCAGTGTTGGGGTCGAAACGCCATAGGATTTCAGACGATACCATGCACCTTTCATATTGTACCTGCTGGAAAACCAGATCCTCCACATAGCTGCATGGTTGCAAACGTGACCCATAGTTCTGTATTGGTGTCATGTAAAAAAGGGTTCGATGGAGGTAAGTCTTTCGCTTAACCTTTATAAAATGAGGGATAGGATGCGTATCTCAGAAAGTATGAGTTGTAATGAGTAGTCTTTATTGTGTTTCAGGAATAATAATAGGGAATTCAGATTGATTGATTGTAATTGTAGCATGCTATTCAAAAAGTGTAATAGACTAGACAAATTTTTGGGATATTGAACTTTAAGAAGCATTTCGTATTACTTTTTGGTAAAGGGTGTTTTTCTACTATTTCGACCCTGCTGAATTCGAAAATGCCGGTTGCCAAAGTGAAATCGCAACCGGAAGTGAGATTTTCAAGATGGCGTCCGAAATGGCATCAAAACAGAATTTTGCTGCTAAATCTCCCTTGTTTGGGGTAGGAACGCGACCAAAGGGTCTCTTTATATGTTTTCAGACATGAAGAAAACAAAAACACACAAACTGAACTCGTTCGTTGAATATAATTTCTAAAAAATATGACAAAAGCGGTCAAAGTTGCCCTTTTTGGTTTTTAGCAAACAATATACTTTGACTAATGTATTATATCGTTCTATGCACATTTGAGACATTTAATGTAACACTTAAAACAAAAGGTATTTCTTTAAAAAGAAGTGAAATTATTGTGTGTCTCCAGAGTTCAGGCAAGAACGTTTACAGGGAGTGCACAGTTTGATGCAAGAGACATTGGCTTTTCTACAACTGCAATTTTTTGTATTACAATGTCCTTTGGAATGACAGACAACCGAGCAGACAACTATTTCTGGGCACGTCTTAGGAATGGGATCCAGTGTTATTGAACGAGGAACAACTTGTTCTCTCTGCACAATCCAGCCACAGTCCTGCAGCCTAGGTAGTGACGGTTTGGGGATATGCGCATTCTCCCAAACACACACCTGAGATAAAAAAATATATACATTATATTCATTTCGTTTTCATTTCTGTCAATTTGCGTTTTAGGTACGCTTACCTGGTAGTTGCATCTCTTAATATGGAGACGAAGTGCATCAGTTGTCGGTGGGAGAAATTCTGGCTTTCTTACAGCTCCAAATAAATAACTTCGGGCATTGTTTGAGCATGTGATGCTGGAATCAACCTGTATGAAATCAGAATTTCTGTGTTTACTTCATTTTAATTCAATATCATCTGAAAGATATTTGAGTGTAAGCATTTTTACCTTATACAGTTTTACGACAAATTTCTCGACATTGCTAAGGACGTCCTCCTCAAGTGGCGACTGTCCGAGGCGTCCCAGAAGCTCGCAGTTTGTCCCAGAAAAAGCCTTCCACGCTTCATCTTTCGTGATAGACGCCAACTCAGACGTCGAATCGCAGCCGGTTATTGCATGGAAAGCAAGAAGATGGGAGACTTGTTCCGGCATAAGCTTTCTGCATATATCATGTACAGGAATGTACTTGGTGTCACGTGCAGTGCCACTCATTACCCACAAATGGGAGCATTTCATTTTAGCGAAGTGGTAGATAAGAAGAAGAACAACGTCGGTGTCCCTCGTCATCACAACAACGTTATGAGCTGTGGTGTGAACGGCATGAAGAACCATGCGCGTGTCAGCTTCCTCGTGTGATGATTTCAGGCAATCAACATTTCGACGCAAATTCGTGGACTGAGCATGTTCTTCCTCAGTGAAGCCGCCGGAGATAACTACTTCAAGATCGCCAAAGTTATGTTGCATAATTCTCTAGGACAAAAACCTGCATAAATCAGTTTTGTCTTCTGATAAAAACAAACCCAGTTCTTTGGCAGCGGCACGTTGCAGTCCTCAATGTCTCTGCGCACGAAAGTTGGAGCATGGAAGGCTTTTTCTGGGACAAACTGCGAGCTTCTGGGACGCCTCGGACAGTCGCCACTTGAGGAGGACGTCCTTAGCAATGTCGAGAAATTTGTCGTCAAACTGTATAAGGTGAAAATGCTTACACTTGAATATCTTCCAGATGATATTGAATTAAAATGAAGTACACACAGAAATTCTGATTTCATACAGGTTGATTCCAGCATCACATGCTCAAACGATGCCCGAAGTTATTTATTTGGAGCTGTAAGAAAGCCAGAATTTCTCCCACCGACAACTGATGCACTTCGTCCTCATATTAGGAGATGCAACTACCAGGTAAGCGTACCTAAAACGCAAATTGACAGAAAATAAAACGAAATGAATATAATATATATATTTTTTTATCTCAGGTGTGTTTGGGAGAATGCGCATATCCCCAAACCGTCACTACCTAGGCTGCAGGACTGTGGCTGGATTGTGCAGAGAGAACAAGTTGTTCCTCGTTTAATAACACTGGATCCCATTCCTAAGACGTGCCCAGAAATAGTTGTCTGTCATTGCAAAGGACATTGTAATACAAAAAATTGCAGTTGTAGATGAGCCAATGTCTCTTGCATCAAACTATGTACTCCCTGTAAACGTTCTTGCCTGAACTCTGGAGACACACAATAATTTCACTTCTTTATAAAGAAATACCTCTTGTTTTAAGTGTTACATTAAATGTCTCAAATGTGCATAGACCGATATAATACATTAGTCAAAGTATATTGTTTGCTAAAAACCAAAAAGGGCAACTTTCACCGCTTTTGTCATATTTTTTAGAATATTCAACGAACGAGTTTAGTTTGTGTGTTTTTGTTTTCTTCATGTCTGAAAACATATAAAGAGACCCTTTGGTCGCGTTCCTGCCTCAAACAAGGGAGATTTAGCAGCAAAATTGTGTTTTGATGCCATTTCGGACGCCATCTTGAATATCTCACTTCCGGTTGCGATTTCGCTTTGGCAACCGGCATTTTCGTAATCAGCAGGGTCGAAATAGTAGAAAAACACCCTTTGCCAAAAAGTAATACGAAATGCTTCTAAAATTTTAATGGAGGCCTTTTTTGGATTTTTCGACTAGACTATAACTTGTCGATCGATTAATCGATTGATCTCTGAATGATCAATATCAGATCACCATTGTACTCTCTGGTGATCAAATTGATTGAAACAATCTATCCGAAAGGGTTGCACGATTATGTGAACAGGGTCTTCAGAGAGCTGGGTATAGAAATTTCTGGATCGGTATAAGAGATACGAGTTAGATTATTCAGAAAAAAAATTGTGAATCCAGAAAGTCACTTCATTATTGGAGATACAGAATGATTGATAGCAACCTTTGATGAGATTCAACGTGGTGATATTGATTTCGTCATGTGACGTTTTGTTTTATTATACAATATGTCTTGAAAATTTTTAGACTCAGCTTCAACCATCATCAATGTTTTCTCGAAACTCCAAATCAAGTATCGATATAGTATAGTTTGAAAAGTTAAACAAAAATTGAGCCATCACCGCAGCGCTTCAAATTGTTCCATGTTGATAGACTCTCACCTGAATTGGGGAACATTGTTCAATTGATCATATGAGAAAATGCGTGAAGTAGCACTTTATCGCCCGGCGTAAAGGCAAGCCGTATTGATCATTCCTGGAAATCAGGACATCTTTGCTTTAGTCGTGATGGTGCACTATCCAAAATCACAGTTCCCTTGAGATGTGAAATGATATGATCGAACCCAAAATAAGTTATCTATGATGACATAAATTGACAGCAAATAATAACTTCTCAGTTGTGACGAGAAACAAGTTCGAAATTTCATCTCTGTTGACAAGTTATAAAATGCCACTTTTTATGAATTACTCTTCTCCCACGGGAAGAAAGTGATTAATTTCTTCCTGGTTATATATCACATATATATATATACATTGTTCATGGCTTCTGTTGTGCTATAGTTCCGAAAAATAAGCCAATAACACTATCTCCGAGAAATAACTGTAAGTCCTTTTATCTTCCATTCTACTTCGAGGTTACGTGAATTACTAAACAACCACTGAATCCACAATCATTTGAAATAGAATCACATAATTAGACTGACAAATATTCAATTACTTCAATTGGATGATGAAGATGCCTGCATAAAGGTGTCATTCCTGTTGATATCATATCAATAATTTTCTGATTTCAATATAATTTTATATCTTCTCAATATTGATTCGTCCTTATTACTGTCACACAAACTATTTGTGTATCATACACGGAAAAACTGTAAGATGTTATCTCTAGGTTTTTCGCTATACACAACCTGTAGCTAAAATCTAATACTTTTTTCCCTTGTAAAATATGTAACTATCATTTCGAAAAATTCTAATGAGTTACTATGGTAACTTTGATTCCATAAATGATACTCCTCACTGCAACCATGATGTATTTCTTTCGTTTTTGAGAGAGAAAGTGGTATTCACATTGAAAAGTCAAATATAGAGTAGACTCGGGGATTATGGAATAGCGTTTTTTATGTTTTGAGTTATTTCAAAAAGTACTGAAAGGAATATGAATTTGAAATGGTGATGGTGTGGCCAAAACATTTATAACAACGAATTATGATAACAAACCCACATGATATATCGAAGACTGGAACCTTTGGCACGATAATACACTACACTGTTTCACCACTAACCAAACCGATTTTGGACTCATTGGAATGAAATTATATCAAATTGGAATAGATGGCACTAGTAGTTTTGTCAAAAATAAGGTATTCCATATTACCGGATATATTCAATTATCCCCGGATCCCCGACTTCACTCTACCTTGCATAAAATGTTGTATGTATTTCGGTTCCTTACTTGAACGCTACGGTCCATTAAGCATGTTCCACGTTTTTTATTAATGAATGACTATCATTTATCTCACCTGACCTCAAATTGTTCGAAATCGATTATCATAATTATCCCATGTCTTGCTGTTATCGCAATATCATCTTCACGACAATCGATCCAATTGTCATACTGATGAGATATTACAGAAATTCCGACTTCCGAGTTCCAAGTAAGAAAATATACCACAAATATGTCACGTTACGTAGAATTCCATATAAGTACTGTCATTCGTGAGTATACGTTATTATATTAGATTATTATTGATTGATTAGATGAAATAGGTTATTCCATAATCACAATTGGTGAAACCATTGAAACCACGAAAAATCAGTTTTGGCTAAATGAGGGGTGAGAAAGTGATCATAGGTTCTTCAGTAAAATATATCATGGAGAAAAATGTTAGTCGTATTTTTCTAACGCCAACGGCAGCATTGGAAGCAATGCTGGGGCTACCACCGCTTGAAAAAGAAGGAGGCGATGGCGGCTCACCTAAGGATGCGGGACTCAGGAAACTGGGCAAGTGAAGGAACAATAACAGGACATGCAAAAATAGCAGAGTGGGTGGAGCAAGAGATTCCTATCCCCACTCTCAGAGTGAATAAAGTACAGGACAAGCTGAGATGGAAAAGAAAGTTCAAACCTACCATTTCAAGCAGAGAGGAATGGAGAGACAATACAGTAGAGTTTTGCCTAGGAAACTTAGTATGTTACACAGACGGATCTCGTCTGACTGACAGACAGGCCTCGGGTGCAGGAATCTATCTCGAGAGGGGAACATACGAGAAAGCTTCGCTCTAGGAAAATACACCACAGTTTTTCAAGCTGAGGTGTTCGCCATCCTGGTCGTAGCAGAGAGACATTAGGTGAAAGAGGGACCAGAGCAGAAGATCTACATCTGTTCGGACAGTCAGGCAGCACTCAAGGCAATCTGTCATCCCAGGCCAAGCTCAGCATTGGTACAGGAATGTGGAAATGCCCTTGAGATATCAGCAGAATCAAAGGAACTTGAACTGGTATGGGTCCCGGGTCACAGTGGGGTGACCGGAAACGAAACAGCAGACGAACTTGCTAGGGCTGGATCCGCGGAGCTGTTTCTGGGGCCGGAGCTTGTACTAGGTATATCAAGGAGCCAAATTACGTCAGGCCTCGATGAACGGCGGACAAGGCACTAGGAGAATACTGGAGAAATATCACAGGTTGCAGGCAGGCCAAGGAATTCATGGCCTGTCCAAGCAAATCAAGGAAGGAGTGGCTGCTTGGCAGAGACCGCCAAGTACATCGCCTCCTCATAAGAGTACTCACAGGACACAACACCTATCACTTATGGGAATAGAGGACAACCACACTTGCCGCAGATGCGGGGAAGACGAGGAAACGTCACTCCATTTCCTCGGCGAGTGCGAGGCGTACGGAAGGCTGAGATTTGAAATATTCGTAGTAGACAAACTCCAACAGGAGGAATTGATTATATTAGAATGGACGGACATACTGGCTTTCATCAGAAAGTCAGGGAGATTTGTGAAATAAATCTAGGTGATGGAAGCGTAGATATGTGGAGAGCAGGGGTTAGCACGAAGGGCCCATCGGAGCCTACTTGCTTGGCTACAGCCTCCCCACCTACTACTTTACTAACCACTACAATATAGTATGATACTAATAGGTATGATGACATTTTTTTGTGGTATTATTTGATGAATGTAGTGACGGGCGCCCATTCAACTTAACGTTTGGTATTCACTACTACCGACTATTTCTCTGAGTGTAATAGAAGTTTATTTTGAATTAACTTCATTTGTCATGTTTAAAAAAAATCATTGTTGGGTGTGTTGTATTTCCATGGTTTCAAATTCATTAGTAAAAAATATATAATTCACGAAAAATTGAGTCCAGTTCGTTTTCGACAGGTTGTTATGCGATTTTTCTAGTTGATTCCGAATCTACGATCAGATTAATGGTACTTGTTATACTAGGTCAGTTATACAAGGTGTCTCTTGAAAGTTTGTTCTAA